AGCGCGCAGGCCGGGAGCTGCGCAGGGAGGCAGAGGTAAGGGGTGTGTGCGGGGCGGAGTGGGTCCGCGTGCGGGAGAGCCGCCGGAACTCCGCATTCAGGCCACCCAGCTGTCCCCTCTGAGCTGACAATCTGCTTTATCCCCTCCTTGTCACCCTTGCACACAAAGAACCTCGGGGTAGCATTCTCCCCGGTTGGGGCTGGGACCACAAAGGCACGCGGATCTGCACGGATGTTCCCGGACGGGGGAAGGAGGGAGAGACCAGATGGGACAGACAGGCCAGAGCTCAGAGAGAGGCAGTCCCCGCCCCTCACCACCGAAGCCGGGGAGACACGGCAGTTCATTCATCCGATGCCCCGAGTGTCAAACACTGTGGAGGCCCCAGAATGGTGCGGTGGGTGCGAGTGTTAGACTACTATCCAGAGCTGCTCTGAGGAGCTGTAAGCAGTGCTACTGGACTGAACTTACGAAGAGGGGGCAGGAAGGTGGCGATGAACCTTAAACATTTCCATTTTCAGTTTCCTCCTTTGGACTCAGCTGCTTGCTGTACTTTGCATAAGCGAGAACTTTTTGTGAGGTGAGAGTGGGGGTGGACTTGGGACATCTATTTTCTAGATTAAGGTGATTGTAGTAACACACCAGTGTCTTTTCTTTCTTTCCCAAAGAAGCACTTCTGTGTTCTTTTTTTTTTTTTAATCATCACCCAAGGATATTTTTTTTCCATTGATTATCAGAATCAAAGGGAAAGGGAGGCAGAGAGAGAGAGAAACATCGATGTGAAAGAGACACACATCGATTGGTTGCCTCCTGCATGTGCCCTAACCGGGACCAGGGGTGGAACCTGCAACCCAGGTATGCGCCCTGGACTGGAATCGAACCCGAGACCCTTCGGTCCGTGGGCCAACGCTCTAACCACTGAGCACCCCACCAGGACTCTATCTGTGTTCTTAGCTCTTCACAGAAATATGTCTGGGGTTCCACTATTTTAAGGCAAAGAGATGCAAATAACTTCTAAGACTTGCTCACCTAAGAGCATCATTCCTGCTCTAAAACTGCCAGTTTAGAGCTTCTCAGTATCCTCACCCCGTTTCCTGGAAGAGGCAGGCTGAATTTGGGAAACTGGAGGAGGGCCCACAGCCAGCTTCTATCGCTGCTCGGGAATATCTGGGAATGACCCTGCTTCGACAAGAAGGTCCTTTCTCAAACTCCCTTCCCTGCCCCCTTCCAAGTACTGGTCTCTTGCTCTGTGCTCTCTGCTTATGGACATTTAAGAATCATTTTGTTCTCTGAATTTAGACTCTTACAACATCAAGTGCAAAGTCCTTGTGGCCCCAGGAGACAGCTTCTGTCTACCAAGCCAAGTCCTGTTAAGAGTCCCACCCCAACTCCCCCCACGTCCAGGTCCCAGGCAGTCCTTGGCAGGAGAATAGAGACAATAGCTCGGCCGCTCATGCCTGTGGTGGCCTCAGATGGAGGGAATTTCATCTTGGGGTGTGCTTGGGGAATGTAATATCTAACAGATTGAGTCTCTTTCAGTCTATTTAACACAATTGGGATAAAGGGGGTCTTTAACTCTGAAAACAAGAAATATTTTTAAAGCATAAAAACTCTGGAAATGTGTAATAGGTGCATAGTGTCTCCATATGCCTATGCATGTACATGTGTATGTGCATATATGTAAATGGGGATGTGTATGTGCATGTGTGTATGTCAGTATGTCTATATGTGTTTCTGTGTATGGTCAATTGCATGGTCTTTGGTGTCAGACAGACCTGTGTGCAAACCATAGCTTTAACCTCTATGAACCTCAGTTTTCTTCTCTGTGCAATGGGGTTAATAATGCCTATTTCACAAGATTATTGTGTGGTTTTATTGAGATCCCTAGTTCCTAGAAAGTAGTTTATAAAAGGAAGTTGCTCTCAATGTTGTTGTTGTTAGTATCTTTATCATTATTTTAGAGAACAGAGCTTCAGATTAAAGCCCTGGCTTGGTGATTAGCTCTCCTAAAACAATGACAAATATATAAGGAAACTATTTTCAGCATTGGACAACAGACAGCACAGAGCTGTAATTCTCAGATGGTGTTGCTTTTACTATGGCTACATGACACATTACCCCAAAACTTAGTAAAGTAAAACAACCATTTATTATGTCCATTGATACTATGGTTCAGAATTTCACACAGAGCCCATCAGGGCAGCTTGTCTCTGCTGTACAGCATCTGGAGGTGGAATCATCTGAAGGCTGTTGACTCACCTACCTGGTAGTTGATGCTGGCTGTCAGCGGGGGGCCTTGTTCTTCCCCATCTGGCCTATCCACGGTGTCTCTCCATGCAGGCTAGATTGGGCTGCCTCAAAACATGGTGGCTGGGTCTCCAAGATAAGTGTTCTGAGAAGTAGAAAGGGAGAGAGAGAGAGCGAGAGAGAGCGAGCCAAGCAAAAGAAGCTGTGCCCTCCTTATGACCTAGACTGGGAAGTTAGGTATCATCACATCTGCTGGATCAGTCACAAACCCCAGGTCAAGGGGAGAGAACATGGTCCCCACAATCGGTGGGAGGAGTGCTGAAGTCACATTGTAAGAAGAGCATGGAAATGGGAAATGTCATGGTCACTTAGAGAAATACAACCATTGCAGAAGGGAACGCACAAAGTAAGCCCCATGGTCACCCCAGCTCTCTGCTCAAGTACAATTCCCTGACCGCAGTGCAGGCAGCTAGACCCCAGTAGAGCATAACTGTCCTACTGAGCTCATGGACAGATTTCAGAACATACACAGAAAGAAGTAATAAAAACAAACTGTGTGATCTTAACACATTGCGGACGGATCATGAGACTTCTTGCTTCATATTACATAGTGTTTTACAAAGTATCATACTTTAAAAAGATATTAGCTTGTAAGAACATGTAATAAATAACTTCAAAATGCAATGGGTATTTAATTTTAAAGCGTGCCTTTAACATTTACGTAAAACTTTTTTGTACTCGTTCAATAGACACTTACCTGGCCACTGGGCAAAGCTAGCAATAAAACTACTGGTCCGCCATGTGTTAAGTCATTTCCTTCACTTCGCCAGGCTGCAGTTTCCTCCACTGGAAAATAAGGGAGTGAATTTCATGTAAATGGCTTAAATGACTTTTAAGATTCTCTCTAGTGCTAACATTCTTTGGCTCTGGTGTGTGTATGTGTGTGCGCGCATGTGCGTGTGCATGGGTGTACATTTCATCTGCCTGTGTGTCCATGTCTGTGTTCCCATGTCTCTGTGTGCATGGCTGTATGTGTCTCCTGTGTGCACACAAAGTAATAAAATTGAGGGCTTTCTGGAATGGGCTTTGCCTGGGAGGAGACTCACTGCTTACAAAGCTGCATTATGAACAAGGTCATTGTCGCCCACTTAGCAAAACTCGGGCTGCTCAAACACTAGTGAGTAGGAAGGGCCTCCACTGCCCAGTTGCAAGGCTGAGGGTTAGTGAATGACATCATCGTCCTGGCCCCACTCTCATTCTCAGCCGGGCCCTACTCTGTTCTTGGGTGACACAGACCATCCCAAGGGATCTATCTACCATGTTTTGCTCAGACCTTCCTTGGAACCACAAGGCAAGTATGTGCAGGACCTGCCTCGCACGCGGTGGTCTATGCAGATCGGCACAGCCACTCCCGGTGTGCCGTTCTTCAGGAGCTGGCGAGTTTGTTCCTCCAGGGGAACATTGGAGCTTCTGTGAAGTATCCACCCCCAGATGCAGTGTCTGCTTCTCATACCCCAGAGCCATTTATTTGACTTTGTGTGAGTCAGAAACTCAGAAGCCCGGGTGTGGAAGCCTTTCCCAAGGGCTCAGCTCGGTGACTCACGGGGACAGGGTGAATAGAAGTGCAGGAGACGCTCTGGAGGGTCCCCAAGGAGCAGGAGTTGGTGGGAAAGCAGTTGTCAAGCCAGCTTGAAAACCAAGAAATTTAGTAAAAACTGCATGGTGGCCCTTGCCGGTTTGGCTCAGTGGATAGAGCGTCGACCTGCGGACCGAAGGGTCCCAGGTTCGATTCCGGTCAAGGGCACGTACCTCAGTTGCAGGCTCCTCCCCATCCCAGGCCCTGGTCAGGGCGCATGCATCCTGGAGTCCGATGTTTGTCTCTGTGAAGGAACATGCTTCGGTCCTGTTCAATACCTCTGGCTGGTCAGTGCCTGGTTTGGGGTGCGACGGAAGATGTGATCCCGGCCTCTACTGATAGCCAAGTCCACAGCCTGAGCAGCTTCTCCCCTCTGCTCTGCCGCTGGACCTGCTTGCAGAGGAGACAGAAGGGAGCCAGTGAGAAAGAGCCCAGTTTTGCCTTTTTCTTCTTTGAGGGCTGTCTCCCCAGTGGGGACGGCAGCTTGGCTCTTGCTCCTTCACTTTTAAAGCCTCTGAGTCACCTGTTAAAATGTGAAATAAAACATCCTGGGTAGGTGTCAGACAGTTCAGACTCACACACTGGTTCTGTCCCTCGCTAAGACCTTTTGCCAAGGTACTGCACTCCTCTGAGACGTACTTTCTTCATCTTCAAAATGGGAATCACAGCCGTGGTCAGTGTGCTCAGTGGTTAGAGCATTGGCCTGTGCATCAAAGGGTGCAGGTTTTGGCCCCAGTCAGGATGTGTGTGGGAGGTGACCAATGGATGTGTCTCTCCCACATTGACGTCTCCCTCTCTCTCTCTCTCACCCCCTTCCACCTTTCTTCCACTCTCTAAAAGCAATGGAAATTTAAAAAATCCTTGGGTGAGGATTAACTAAAATAAAATAAAATAAAATAAATAAGAATAAGCCCGGCAGATGTGGCTCAGTGGTGGAGCATCGACCCAGGAACTAGGAGGTCATGGTTCGATTCCCAGTCAAGGCATATGCGTTGGTTGTGGGCTCGATCCCCAGAAGAGGGCTTGCAGGAGGCAGCTAATTGATGGTTCTCTCTCATCATTGATGTTTATCTCTCTCTTCCTCTCCCTTTTTCTCTGAAATCAATAAAATTAATTAAATAAATAAGTATAAAATAAAATGGGAATAATAACCCT